CAGACAGACAGACAGACAGACAGACAGACAGACACAGAGAGAGAGAGAGAGAGAGAGAGAGAGAGAGAGAGAGAGAGAGAGAGAGAGCAATACAAGAACGAGGAATTCATGAATGTTGATGGTGGGTGGATATCAGAGGATTAAGTGCATACAAAAATAGCCAGCTATGACAATTATACCTGCGCTATCTGAAATTGGACTTCTGTTGCATTGTACAAAGGAAAGATTGGCCAGTACCTCATTCACCCTCCTCACCTGTTCCAACAGCAGCAGTGTGAAGTACCTGCTGTCTCTTCTTCCATCACCTGAGTCAAATCTTGTTTCATTGTGTCCGGGAGGGGCGAAATCCGAAATGCTGAACGAATGCCCAGGGAACCAAACATGTTGGCCAGTACCTCTTTCACCCTCCTCACCTGTTCCAACAATGGCAGCGAGAAGAACCTGTTCTGTCTTCTTCCATCACCTCTGGCAAATCTTGTTTCCTCGTCTCCGGGAGCGGCGAAATCAGAAATGCTGAAATAATCCCCAGGGAACCAAACACCAAGTAAGGAAGACTTTTGTTGTGACGGGCAAGCAACACGACAAACGGTGCGCATGCGCTTCCTATCTGACCAATTTGACCGGTAAAGGCCATCGCCGTAGCGCGAATTTCAGTGGGAAAGAGCTCAGACGTGTACACATATGTGACTGTATACGTTGCGGCTATACCCATGTAACCTATCATGGCAGAGATGACCCTCAGAGTTTGCCTTATCTTTTCTGCCTTCTCGTCTACATTTCCGTCCACAACCCCACTACAATCGACTGATGCGGACAAATTAGATAGCAACTCAGAAGATCGGTTGTCGCTACATACTGTAGAATTGTTGTCACTGTTGCCGTGTGAAGGAACCATAAGGGGGGATAGGGCACAGAAGAAGGAGGACAGAGCACCTAACACTATGCCACCTACAACGCAACGTTTTCGTCCCAGCCGACGTACCAACATGGTTGCTATGAGAAAGGATGGGATTTCAACGAGACCATTTAGAAATGTTTGCAAGTATACATTGTTTCCTAGATTAACCGAGCTGAGAGCGAGGCCGTAGTACAACAACGAACAAGTAAGCCACAGGATAGACAGAGCTACCAGCCTGTGTCTGGCCCGGCGATTCAGCATGATGTCCTTCAATCCGCGGTGGTGATGATGGTACACCTCCCTTAATGCCGGGTTTTGAGCCATTGGCGGTTTTGTAAGTTTGTCCCACATTTCCTGCACAGAATGTCTAGAACTGCGACGGCTACTCACGGGCAGCGGCTGCTCACCATTCGCTGCACCTGCGCTTTCCTGGACAGGAATATGTGAATCGCCTGGAACCGTCTGAGAATCTGACACAGAGGCACCTTTTTGCTGGGGGGGGTGGGGGTCACTGGGACCCACAATTTCACTACTACCGGTAGGTTGGTCTTTGATGTCACTGCCTCCAGTGCCAGCTGGAGGTGCAGGCTTGGACACAACTGGACTCTCAAAGTCTAATTTGAATCCTCGCGCCTCACGTGGCATGGAGGCTGCAGAGTCTGGCCTCTGGGGCTGCAGATCATGCAGGTGGCCACTTCCCAGCATGGGACCAGTTGTGGGTGGTTGACCTGGCTGTGGAGGTGATGCATTTAACTCAGAAAGTGGGTCAGATTGTACCTCTCCAGGTTTGCATTTGGCAGTCAAAGTTAGTGTTACGGATGGTGGAATGGATTTCCCATTCCTTTGAGCCATTTTCTTCAATATGTTAAGTGCTTCGTCTCCTCGTTCCCAGACAAGGAGCCACCGGGGGGACTCGATAAGGAAGTGACGGCAGACGATAGAGTACACGAGAGACGGAATGCTGACAGCAATCATGACATGCCTCCAGCTGCGAAAGAGAAATCCCAGCAATGCAAGAATCATAACTCCCAAGGAATAGAAGTACATGGTCGACATGCCAAGCGTGCTTCTGTGTGATGGGCCGATCGGCTCTGTGGCCAATACGAATGCGTTTGACCCGATTCCGCCGCACCCGAAACCTGCCATTAGTCGAAAAACAGCGTACATGGCAAAGGCAGGGGAAAAGGATGACAGCAGGCTAAATGTGCCTGCCACCGCGGTCGCTGTTATCAGAGTGCCCCTCCGCCCTAACATTCCATCTGCGAGTGAGCCGAAGAATCCTCCACCTGCAGGCCTTGCCAAGTTACCAATCAGCCAATCAACCAATCAACCAATCAACCAATCACATGCATCCATAACGACGTTACACTTATGACTCGTGTTATGAGCCAGTGATCACCAGACAAGAGTTCGAATCCAGATGGATAAGAAATATTAAGAAGAGTAAAATAACTCCGAGTGTTTTAAACTTTTCTTAAGAAAGGAAAATGAGAAAGAAGAAGCCAGTATGTGGCCCAGCCTCTTCCATCATGCGGGTTTGCCTGGTTATGAGAGCATGGCCTAGGCTATCAAAACTTTTAAATAGTATTAATAATTAAATTTAAGGTAGTATTAATTAAATAAATTTAAATTTAATTTATTAAACATTTTACAAATCCAGTGCTTGACACTGCTTGTGTGGCCCTTCAAGCTAACAACAGTTACAAAACACATTCAGACCAGGTAATCCTCCCCTTGCCCAAGGTTTTTTTTTTTTTTTTTTTTTTTTTTTTTTCCCAAAGGGGCCCAAGCTTTCTACTTGTCAAAGGTGAGTAGGCTCTAACCTTATTCTCTCCCACAGGATTCGAACAATGGATCTGTTCATCATCGACAGATTCGACACTTATATTTGTGTACACCGTTCGTCCACCAGGGCGATAACCCTCTCCTTGCCCCACGCGAGCTACTGATTTGGCAGGACAGGGAGATACAAGATACAAGCCCTGTGGCTGGTAGCATGTTGAGCAATTTTTTTGAAAATAAAGGGGGCATGTTGAGCAAAGTCATGCTTTAACCGGGTTAACCCCGATGGAAGCAATAAACTAGCCTTATTTTGTCTGGAAGTCCCCTGGCTAGACCTGTCGGAATGTACCTGAACCGAATTGATAGTCAAGTGCATGATCTGTACGCGGATGCATACAGTTTGCAGAAACATTCCAACAAGGACAGTTTGGATCGAATCTAAAGTGGGTCGCATTGGCCCTTCCTCTGCAGAGTGGCTGAGACTCGCGTCTCAGCCATGCAAGTAGGTTGCTTCGGAATATGACACATGCGGTTCCATTGTGCAAGTAGGTTGGTTTGTAATACCATTCATGCAACTTTTGGACGAGGGAGTTCTCCGTTTTATTGTGTGCACAACAGCACATGAACCAGGCACAAGGATGATTGGTCAGTATCTCACAGTCCTAATTTATTTGTTTGCCTCTGCTTTCGGAGGGTCCCACTACCCTTAATATTTCCCACCTCTCTCTCTCTCTCTCTCTCTCTCTCTCTCTCTCTCTCTCTCTCTCTCTCTCTCTCTCTCTCTCTCTCTCTCTCTCTCTCTCTCTCTCTCTCTCTCTCTCTCTCTCTCTCTCTCTCTCTCTCTCTCTCTCTCTCTCTCTCTGTGTGCGTGTGTGTGTGTGTGTGTGTGTGTGCGTGTGTGTGTGTGTGTCTGTGTGTCTGTGTGTATGCGTTTTAGATTTTCCCCACAACAGCCCCAATTCCACCCACGTGAATAGATTCAGAATCAAAGCAGTCTTTGTCCTATTGCAGACAACGAGAGCAATTTTATAATTAGACAGTTTTTTGGTTGTCCTTGGGGTACCCCTTTCATTGTTCTTGCAGCTCCCCTTTCACTGTGCCTCTTACGCACAAGGCTGCCCACGTTGATTGTGGTTGAGCGGCAGCTGCCCACATCCCCGTGTGCCTTCATGGCCCACTTGCACGTTATTTCAGGAGGCAGAGTAAAAGGGAAGATATGCTCCTGTGCATCTCTTGAGAGCTTCATACTCCTGTTCATTTCACTTCAGATCTTCAGCTTACACAGTCTTTGTGTCCGTCCGTCATCTTCATACCTCTGTTCATTTCATTTCTGATCTTCATATCGTCTATTCTCTTAATGATGCTCATTCGTATGTATTTGATAGTAGTACAAAGGGAGTGGAGGGGAGGGTGGAGGGTAAGGATTTCTCTAGGAGTATGGGGCAGGGGAGGTAGGGGCAACGGGAAGGAAAGAATATGTGGAGGGCAGGATAGAGTATGACATGCAAAGAGCAGGGGAGAGGTGTATAACGGGTTTCACCGATTTCTAAATATTCACCGCTAAACACTGCTATGGCGAGTGGCCAACCCTACAGACCGGACAGGACCGGTACGGGTGTGGGCTATGGAAGCACCGCATCCAATTTTCGCAGTCACAGTTGCTGCATCGAATGGCACAGCGCAGACACATGTCACAGGCTACGTGGCTCGTACATGCTAGGAACACAGAGGCACGTCGACCGCAATTATAGAGGTATTGCCGTTCCAGCCCCTGTCTACAAATTGGACATGACATGTCGGGGTGCCGTACATGAGTACAGTACTGACTGTCATCGTACGTATGGAAGCAAAAACTCGCATGGACTATACCTTCATAATCCGCACGGCACAAGGCATGCGAACCACATGCTAGTTGAATCTCCGGGAGGTCATCACAAAACAGCATGGAGCATCTTTCTTGGGCTTCCTCAGTATGTGTTCCTTCTCTATGGGCAGACGACGACAGGGAGGATCAGTCCAATGCAAGGGCGTTCAGCTGCTGCAGGATATGATCCGCAACAGCTCGCCATGGTGGTGATAAACTATGAGCACATCGCTCTGCCGGTGGTTCATATAGAAGTCTATTTTCCTCGTCGGACTGCTGTGTTCGTTGTTCGCCTGGCAAGAAAGAGGGAGATCCATCAGTGGTTGCCGTAGGTGTATGACCAATACCGCATGTGGGACATGCTACAAGAGGATGTGGAGGGTGATGGCACCCGGGATAGTCCACACAGTAAAGACACATACTTTCTATGACAGCTTCCTGGAAGCATTGACGACACATGGCATGTTGCAGACATGTCATTAGTATGGTAGGCTGTCGTGCACAATTATTTAAGCATGGCAGATCAAGGCCACAACGGCATGCTGGGCAAGTAATAAGGGGGTGGGGGGGATGAGCACAGGACAGGGGATCACAATTTTTGTGTGAGAGGCTAGCAGCGACCATCCCTTCATAGTGTTCGGAGCAGAGGCTATGTCGCGTACATGCCAACTGAACTGCACCTGTGCGACGACACAACGGGAGAACACAGCCATCATCCTGTGGAGAGGTCCTTTCACTGTTTGTGGTAGAATCAGCCAGATTGCTCTCCGGGGGGTGCAGTGCTTGCAAATGCTCATCGACATACTGGTCCTGATGGATGAGCCAGACTGAGTGACCCTCCAGCATTTGGTGATAGAAAGAGTTAATATTTCCCACTGTGTGCACCCTACTGCCATTGTCCCATAGGGTCCATGAATTATCTGCAAGGTAAGAGCACTGAAGTGACCTGGACGATATGTGTGTGTGTGTGTCGCATACCCTAATGGTAAAGACCAGAACAAGAACCTACCTCTCTCACAGAGTACAGGATAGCGCAGCGGAAGGCTAAAATACCAATCATCAACCCAATCAATGTCGCAATGCAGACCAAACACACATCATCATCATCGCAAGGTGTGAAGGGACCTGGCGCTCACACAGAAAGAATGCGCCAGTCCCAAGCATACACAGACGAGGAGGAGGGGGATCAGACGAAGAAGAGGGGGAAGATGGGAATGTCGTCACACCAAGTCTTCGATATAGGTCCCAAATAATCCCTCGTCCAATGTCTTGGTCCCGATGTCGACTCTGAATCCAAATGTCGTCAAGTCTCAAAGTCACAAATCTCTCTCTCTCTCTCTCTCTCTCTCTCTCTCTCTCTCTCTCTCTCTCTCTCTCGTAGTCTGTAGATACTGAGAAGTCAGATAGCAAGAGGGTGAGGGAGAGATGGTGGACTTAGAAGAAGAACTCT